TGAGGACCCACAAGGTGGAAGTGGAAGAGAACTGAGCCGAGTTCAGAAGCTCTGTTTTATTCAAAAAATGCAAAAAGAACCCCGCCTGTAAGAGTTACAAGACAAACCCATGCCCGTTGAAGACTTGAGTAAACGTGTGGGACACGTGGGGTGGAACCTAATGAAGGACACTGCACTGTGCTGTCCCCGTGGTTTTATGCACCTCGCATAATTTAGCAAAATTTGATAATTTTTTTGCACAATTTCTGAGTTTTTTCCCTTTAATATTCTTTGTTAAAATTGACAGAATCGCATAATTTCACATTTTTGGGCTCAGTTTGAATAAAAATTTCAGAATTTTTCTCTCATAAAACTACGACGGGGACAGACTGTGAACACGGCAGTGAACCATGTCCATGTTGGGAATATTTGACCGACTGATTTAGTAGTTTGGAGACTTTGAGTTCCCCTCATCTCTGACCAGTGACCTGAAAGCGAGGGGTCCACGTCAATCCTTATAATTCATTTGCATAGAAGGTAAATCGGATAGAATTTCATGCAGGACTCTTCTGTTTTATCAGAACCAAAGAGAAGAGGACTTCCAGTACTAACCCTCCCTTGCCCCATTTGATTTTGTGCTTGGTGAAATGGTATAGGTTTAAAGCACCTATCAACTCTATTAGAGAGTTTAACATCCGTCTCCGAAAGGACCAAGCCAAATAGGAAATACGTGTAAAGTGCCTTTCCCAAGGACACAACGTTGGACCGGGCTGAGGCTCGACACTCGAACCCGCAATCTCAAGATTACGGGTCTGGTAGACCAACGTCACCGATTTGAGCTTGAGAAGAGACCTGGGTGTAATATACGCGTATAAGTATTACAAGAAAACACCCGAAGAGATCTACCTCCAAAGCGTAAGTTTTCAAATTTTATGCATGCATGCACTTTTGAACTATCATTTGCATTGGTTTTTACATTGAAATCTATGCTCTTCTTTATTCACATATATTTCACAAGGCAACCTGACTCCGGATCAAGGGTATTAGGCCTACTATTATTACAATCGTATTTTCTTAAAAAAAAAAAAATCGCAATGAATCCGCTAAATTTGCAGTGAAGGGCAGCCTTGTGAGAATCGTTTACATCGATGAATAGGAAAGTGGGTGGTACACATACAAAATGTCTGACACGACTTTACAAAAAAAGTGGGCGGATCTGACAAGCCAAAAATGAAAGGTTAGTATGTGTCTGTCTGCACTAATAAGATAGAGATATAGGGCAAGATGTGCTCGACAAAACTGATGAGGTTTTGCATGACTTACCCAACTAATGAGAAAGAGCAATCTGCTTGACGAGATAGAGCACGGAAATATTTTTATAAACTACATGATAAGTCTTTAAAAAAAACAAAAAACGTTCAACTTGTGAGACTCGTGAGGTTGTGCATTATCTGACTGACGAGACACAAAAGATGAGCACGAAAGGATGAAGTATATTACTATTACGGTAGCGTACACTGACTTGAAAGGTTGGATATTTACGAGAAGAAAAAACAACAACTCTCAATTACACAATGGACACTTGTCCGGGGTGCAGTGGCGGATCGGTCCTCCCTCTTATTATTATAACAGGAACAATATATATATATATTCCTGGTATAATTCCTTCCAGTTACATCACAGACACATTGGTCTCTTGTGCAGTATATGCCTGACAATGGCTACTTGTCCAGGATGCAGCGGGGGATTGGTCCTGCCTCTGTATTACTGGTATAATTCCTTCCAGTTAGACCACAGATACAATGGACTCTTGTGCAGGATCTGCCTGACAATGGTGAAATGGTATGGGTTTAACGCCCCCATCAACACGATTAGGTTATTTAAGAGGGCGGGGCGTCCTAGTTTAACGTCCATCTCCGAAAGGACCGAGCCAAATGGAAAATTCGTGTAAAATGTCTTTCCCACAGACACAACGTCGGACTGAGCTGAGGCTCGAACCCCCAAACCCGCAATCTCACGATTACGAGTTCGGTAGCCTAACCACTAGGCTACCGACACCACTGCCTGACAATGGCCGCTTGTCCGGAATGCAGTGGCGGATTGGTCCTGCCTCTTATTACAGGTACAATATATTCTT